CACTGACAGGACGCAATCAATGACAAGGCCTGTGCGACTGAAAAGACAGGATGACAAGCTGGAAACGCCAGGTAGCTTTTGAAGCATCGAAAAACGGGCTCCCGGGGCACTGTGATGTCCAGGTTTCTCTTTCTCTCTCACACATAATTATGCTCTAAGGCAGATCCTCCACCTCAGAACAGGTGTTCCGTGCATGACAAAGGGCTTTTATCCTCTGTGTGGAGTGCTCTGCATTGCAATGAGGTGAGGCTGCCGTGTTATGTTTTCCAACACCTGGCTTCTTCGCTCTGCAGAGCTTTTCCGGTTTTCGGGGTTGTTTCATTTTATTCAATAATTTACGTCTCATTATTATTGTTATTATTATTATTATTTTTTTTGTCTTGGGGTACCGAACCCTCCTCAAGGTTTCTTTCGGAATACGGAACACGCCCACTATCTCAAAACAAGACATCGTACCATCGAAACGCGCACTTCATTCCGCCGTTGCCCCCTCCTTCCTAGCCTTGCTTTCCTTCAATGCTTCCCTCCCTCTTCTTCCGTCGTCAGATGCGCCGCCTCCCATCGTCCATCTCCAGTCCAAAGCGCACCGACATCCACTCACCGTTCAGGAGTGCAACGCTGTTTTGGTGCAGGCCACACCCACCCTGGTCAGTCTTCCCGTGTGCACAGTCCTCGAGCTAGCAAGAAAGAGGAAAGGGGAGAACATGGGCAAGAAAATGCAGGCAGGACGAGAGGACATGCAACGAGCCCTTTAGGTTAGACTTGCGCGGGACACTAATCCACGAGGAGGTAAAGTGCAACCGTGAACGCCACAATCGTGCCTGTCGAGTTCCCTGAACAGTACATGTACAACGCCGCACAGAGCAAGGCTGGCCCAGTGTCATGATGTTTGGGCCTTTTCATGCGCACTCTTCCGCCCGATCTCCGTAATTACCTGAAGTCTGTAACGTTCTGGAACTCCACTTTTGATGATGGAGAACACGTTGTGATCGTCGCAGTGACAGCCGCAAGTCTCTTTTGCCCAATGCTACTCGTGCTTTGCTCACTTGAATAATCCAGGCCAAACGGTGAAAGAGAAATGGTGCACACCCCACAAATTAGTTGAGGAAAAAAAGTGGAAGAGGAAAACGGGCACTAATGAAATAAGATACGCAAATTACAAGATGCAAAGTTGTCAAATGATGCAGAAGCTGAGACGGAAACGGCCATTCCAATTTTACCTGATAGATAAAATAAAAAAAAGATAAAAAAAGAAGACGAAGGCAAAATGCGATTCGCACAGCATGCGTTTCGTGTCGTATGTCGTACGGAGTATGGCATAGTACTTTCGTTCACTCACATTGAATTATGCGCCTTCTTTGTGTGCAGTTACGGCTTGCGGCATAAGCAAATCATGTTATTTTTTCCGCCTTTTATCGCATCCCATGACCTGAAGCGAAAGAAGACACCTGATAAACACAAAAGCGAATGGGATACGTTGTATGTTATCCGACGGCGTCGAATTTAAGAAGTGGCGGCAGATTGCTGGCTGTGGAGATGCCTTTGTATGGGTGTTGAGACTCGCTGTGGGCTTACTTTTATGGGCGTCGTCTCTGTACGCCTTTCAAACTATTTTATTTATTCTACTTTTCTCTTGTTCCTGCGATCTGTGCTTTGCTTCTTCGTTTCCTCCTTTCTCTGGGCCCTCTTCATTCTGGAAGCCACCTTCTCGGTTAGCGGAACACACGAACCCAGATCCCAGGTCACCCACAGACTACACAGAACCCACCCGACCCTCCCTCATTCCCGTCTGCCTTTGCGATGACCTTCTGCAACACTCGACGGTCGCCAACGGGTGCCTCTCTGGGCAATGTTTCGTGTTTCAAATTCGAGGTGGTGTGCATTGAACGCCAAAAAAAATTACGACTCGACTTGACGATATTACGGGCAATAGGAAAAAACCGAGTCAGCTCATTTTCTTTTCTGCTGCCCGGGTGTCCTCGGCCTACGGGCCAAATAAAATCAATATTTTGCGATCAAGGTGATGGCATAAACATAAACACGGGAAAAATCAAACAGGTTAGCAGGACGCAAGATGAACCTCAAATAAATAAGGAGCACAAAATTTTTCAAGGTAGCGCAGCGCATTTGTTCCTAGGGCCATGCCGTTTGTCTGATGTCTCGGCGTTCGTCTGACAAGTCAAGATCATGTGCGACTCCGGACAAAAGGTCATGCTGCAAGAGGAATCGCGCATTAAAAATGTCGTCGGAAGAGTGTACGCTTGCGGAGGCACAGAGTCAAAGCACATCTCGGTCTCTCCGAAGGAAGGAAGAGGAACGCAAAAAAAGGTATGAAGAGACCACAACACCAAAATCAGGCCGTTCCAGATCAGGCCGTTCCAGGTAACGGGGAACGGCCGGCACGCAATGATGCTCGTCATCCTTTTCTGTCCTTTGGGGTCCTGTTCTTGTTGTGAAACCGGTTACGGGCATCGACCACCTGTCAACCGGATCGTCTGTCTTGACGGCGCGGCTGACAAGCGATCCTGATCGTCGCCCTTCTAGTATGCGCGACACGAGGAAGCAAAGACACCTGTCGGCATTTGCTCATGCATCGCCCCCTCGTGGGTGTTCCATAACGTATTTACCCAGCACACTCGTTTGTGCCACTGCCTTACCGTACGCCGTAGCACGACGGCCGTCCGAGACATGACACAAGATCTGTTGACAGGCCTGTGTCCGTTTTTCAATGAGCTTCGTTGGGCGGCTGCTCTCTTTCCATGCCCTGGCCTTGACATTTCTCCATCCCTGTCGCAAACTGCAGTGTTCGCTCCATATTGTGGAGGTCGTTTTGCCACTTATCCGAATTTTGTGCCATTAATACAGCGTATTAAGACGCCCTGGATTGTGAGAACAGTGGGCTACGGAGCAATTGAATCGGGTTGGAGGCAGCAAACAAGCTACCCTTGTATGTTGTATTTTGTACGGGTTGGTGTAAATGCTTAATGCTCCGAGCCAAGTGATAAATAATGCGCAGCGAACTTGACTTCAACATTCGCGACGTTCTGACATTGCCGAGCACCAAATGAAGATATTTTACTACGATTTCTTTTTTGTTGTTATCGGTTTGTTAAAAAGAATGAAGTTGGCACGTAGGACCACACTATCACTGTCCATTTAGGTTTTTTTTTTTTTTTTTTTTTTTTTTTAAAAAAAAAAGGTCATAATAAAGCCCACCTCATCTTTCAAGCCACGCTCCCGCCACCCAGCGCTGGTCATTGCGTGACCCCTCCACGCGAGCCGAACATGCTGGTCCTCTCGCTCCCGAGACCACCCTGGATGCAACAACAACAAGGAAAGAAAAGTGAAAAGTGACAAAAAGTGTCCTGTGTACATAGTGATGATGGCTTTCTTGGCCAGTCATATCGGAGGGCCGCGGTCTCGCCTCGGGGTCTTCTGACCAGTCAAAGAGATGTGTTGGCCCCAATCGCGGCCCCATGTGGCGGCTCAGTGCAGAATCTCAGGAAGAAAAAGTGCAGCCATCCCAACAATCTCACAAACAAGGCACTTTGTACGACGTACGACACCTCTTGGTGTGTGTCTGGCCAACTTTGGCAACCGTTTTTCTTGTAGCACATCATGTCGTCGACAAAGTCGGTGACTTCAACGGCCGGTTTTTTCGTGTCCTGTCCAAAAAGGGACAAGCCTTGCTGCAGCGTCTTGTTCCATACCAAGCGTCCCGTCTCACAGCATCCAAGAACGGAGCATAGCGCATCCCAATGTGCGACGTACAGGAGCTGCACCTGTTTTCTGTGATACACACCTACAGTACGCATATACATACAAGTACGACGCTACCGGCATGCAGTTTGTCGTGACGCCCGTGCTCTCGCTGTGATCACACTGCGGCCTATTTTTGTCGTTTTCTTTTCTTTTTCTTTTTTTAGAAGAGAAGAGCAACATCCGTTTGCTTCTTGCGTTTCTAGATGCGTGATTTTTGTGACCTTTGTGCTCCAAAGGGACGAAAGAAAGACTGTTGGTAAGAGTGGCAGCGGCTGGTATTTGTCACTCACAAGCCATATTTTTATCTAATTGTGGATTTTTTTCACTGTCGACATGCCTGCCGTCTCTGTTCCCGACTTTCGCTGTACTGTATGTGCATCTCGCTAAGCAACAAACCGGCATGTAGTTAATTCGAACGTTGTCCGTGTTGAGCAAACAAAAAATGCACTCGCTATCAGACAGGGTATAAACACGCCGCCTTATCCAAGAGAGCCATTGTCTATCCTTACCGCCTTTTTCGTATGTTCACTTCCGCGCAAGATATCTGCTCTCTGTTCTCAGCCTGGCTCGTTTTCAACTAAACCTAGCCAACCTTCACCGATGCGACGGTCAAGTGCCAGATAAACTAGCTGTTGCTACTTTAGATATTACGATTCTCGTCGTATGGCCTGTCAACGACACCTCCACGGTAGTCCTCCAGGCGGTCTATTCTTGGACTGCCATTCTTGCCAGGACAGTTCACTTTGACTGTGCCGTTGGCAGCGTAGCATCCGTCGCTCATTAGCTTATTTGCGAGCAGGTGGTAGGAATCATATTCTAAAAAAAGTACTTTCTCATATCGAAAATCCTATTGTTCACTCCATAATTTTCCATCTGGAGTGCCATAAGCTGGAAAAGAACACTATTACAAACTATTTAGTCTTCAAGGCCATTGTTATGGGAGATTGTCGGGAAATGGGTACACATACATTGTACATACTTGTGAGGAGCGTTTTTCAGTTCGTTGCCTTTTCGCTCCCTGCGTTGGTCGAGTGGCTTGACATTCATTTTGCATCGCACAGGCCTGTCCTTGTCCTGGCCTGTCCATCTCGGCCCTATTTGAGCCACAGTCTGGGGGGCAGCACTCCTCTGATTTCCCTCCCGTCTTTTAAGATTATCCTGTTTGGTCCTTGATATTACGACAAGGCTGACTGTCATCCGCCGGATGCCTCTTCGTAGTCTTTTGCACACTACACAGTATGGTATTTCCTCGGCTCGCCCCGTATTCTTATAGTGACGAATTCTGGGTTCACTCAAAGTACAAAGCGCCAGCCTTCGAAAGCTTTTTCCATGTTCAGTCACCATCGAAAAGAGAGGATGATTTTGACAGTGTCTGCCTGTGCACAGAATCCCCAAACGTACCGACCCAGTTAGCAGCCCGTCCTGGTCGCTTCTCATGTGGCCGCCTTGATCCTTGATTTCGGCCGCGACACACACAACGACACCCTTCTCTCGTGGCACGCGGCCGTGCGCGACAGATCAAAGGAGAGGGCTACCTCTCCATTGCATATGTACGTCCAGGCCGTCCTGCCCGCTGCCCCCCCCCCACCCCCCCCCCCCCCCCACCCCGAGAGTCCCCTCAAGAGGACTTTACCCACGGGCCCTGCTGCACGTCGAAGGAGGACGGCACAGCAACCCGTCTACCAGGCCACGATTGAATATGACAACGGGGTCTCACGCATGCATGGAGTAATGTTTGTCGTTGACGTCCCGTCTATCCAAATCGGGAATTACAAGCTACAGGACGAGGGACAACGGGCTGTTAGTAACGATGACAGACCCCGCCAAAAACGGAAGAAGCGTCTGATCTCAGCGGCACAGCAGGCATCAAAATAGCGAGAAGGTAGTATTGTGTTCGGTGGTGCCTTCTTCCGAGAAGCTTCCAGGCTTAGTGATGCGATGAAAATATGATGTGTGGCCTAGGTGGAACATGAAACAAACACCACCGATGGCACCAAAATGAAGAAGAGCCAGACGCGGAGTGTGTGTCTGTGTGGTCTCTCCGGGATAGACGAATAGACTTGAAAACATGCGATGGAGAGACAGAGAGGACCAGAGTGTGGGTGACAGCTGAACATCAGACACACGCCCATATATCCGCGCAAATACCCGCACCCAACGCCAATCCCATAGCGGCTATTGTATCCATACCGGTGAGCTCTTGTGACAGCCGTTGACAACGAAAATAAAACCAAAAAGAAGAAATTGTCCGGCAGGCATTGAAGGTCGTTTGTTGTGTTCTTTGTTTGTAAAGATTCAAAGACAACTTGAAAAGGCTTCCTTGGGCCCGGTTTCACCTGGCGGAGACGACGGGTCCGGCACTGGTCGGAAGAAAAGAATTACACAACAGTCCCCGGGGATACCCAGGAATAATACTGTATTGTAGTATTTGCTTTTGGTTCTCCTTCGTAGAAGTAGTTTCCAGCATTTATTTTATGTCTGAGTATTTAAATTTATTAAAAATAAATACACATGAACGACTGTGAAATAGCTAATAAGCCGAAGGAGTTCAACAAATAAAAACAAAATTTCATGTAGACCCGGCAAACGGCATGGCACATGCTGTAAGGACAAAGGTTCAAATGTCATTGAAAGCAAGACCGGGAATCCCTTCCTTGACTCTGCAGCGTGCACGTTTCAGCGCCATGTTTTCAGCAGCCATGATTCTGGGATTCCGAGCCTGCTCTGTATTCCGTGGTCTTGTTCTCCTCGCTGCCGAATCTGCAAAAAACGTGAACTCAAGTAGATGCCGGACGTGGTTCAGCATCATGGCAATCAACGGCCGTGCCGGAGTTGCATATCTAGTATCGAGTATTACCCGTTCACATGCAAGCGGCACAGATGAAGCAAGAGTCGGCTGCCGTGACGTAAGAAATGCAACATGTCTCTTTTGCAATGACAACGTTGCACACATACATGACAGTTCTGACGATGCCTCTCGGCTGGGAAGATAAGACGGACTTTGCCAATCCGGAACCATGTGCACCAGAAGGAAAGAAAACAAGGTCGGTAAGCTGAACCGTATACCAGACAGTGGCGAAAACAGGCGTGGGTAAAAACCATCAAAAATCCTGAAAGGCCATGAGAAGGACGCAAGCGCCAACTGATTCTCTGGCGGATTCACACTGGACGTCATGCGTTCCACACCAGGCGCCAGATGTGACCAATTTTGTGTCAATCGTTTCATCTTGTTCGTCCTTGACTTGTTCGTCTTTTCTTTAATCCATTCTTCTACGAACATCATGTCGGCTGCTTTCGTCTTTTACTCAGTATCAACCGCAAACGGAGCGAGCATGGTTAATTGTGTTCGATTTCGTGGTTCTCGCTCTGGCGATCGCGAGACAAGTCGGCGTGAATGGTGATCTGCTGCAGAACCGCTTGTTGCCAGAGTTGGTTGTTGCGTACACATCAAGACCGCCGACCGCTTGCCTTCTACAATCATTCTTTTTGCCGGGTGATGTGCAATTACCCAGTTTACGTTCTGTGACACAATTTACTTGTGCAACACTCACCGGGGAGACGGCAAGTATTGACCGACTTCTTAAGATCTCCTAGAAAGATAATGCGTTGTTATGGTCGCGATTGGCTTGGTAGTCTCCATGGCCGTCACAACTGGCTGAGTGAGCAGCTGGGCGACTGAGCGACGGATCAACTTTTGCATAACGATCATGTCAGTGCGGATTCTGCTTCTGTGGACAGGAGAGTTGGAATCAAGGCAACAATGACAGATCTCTGATTTTCCGACTCTTCTAGAAGCCGTTTTAGATCATCGTCTTGGGTAGACTACAGGTACAGAGATGGGTGGTAAATATTATCCGAGTTGTTCCTCGCTGAGGTGAATGTACATTTGCGTGCGATGAGAAAGACGCCGAGCGACACCGCCTTCGTCTCGGTCGTTGTGTGTCGCCTTACTCGTCCTCTGGATTTGGTCAAGCCGTGAATTGCTTTTGCCGCAACAGGGTGTGTTGCTGACCTACATGTCGCGATGATGAAATGACCCTGGCCTCCATTGGGACGTGTCGTGCAATGCAATGAGTCTAGATATAAATAGAAGAAAAAGCCATCCCAGAGCCAGGAACAGAAGGTATGAGCAGCACCCGTGGTCACAAAAGCAATGGAACTGCCTACCGGCGCCGCCTTACGCTGATTAAATCAGGACCATCTCGAAGCTGGGAGCCAACGGGCGACAGATGGGTGGCCTATCGCCCGTAAAAGGCACACAAAATACTCCGTACATGACCGCCCATTCCTCCGACACTATAGCGATAGAGAGCGGCATTGATTTGATTAATTCACGAACCGGGGAAGGCTAACGCGGCTCTACCACTCCCCAACCGAGTCCCTTCTTCGTCATAGTCGCGGAGGCGCTGCTGTTTGTTCTCTGCCTTGAGCTGCGTAAACAATTTCAAAAGAGGCTGCAGCACGTACGGAGACATAGTCTGCTTGTGGACTGCGCCGTGCGTCGCCCAAGTTGCGTCCGTGTTGGTGTGGCTATTAATTAATATGTGTCCCGTTCGTGCATGATGCCGTAAGTTGTTCTGTCTCCCTTCAACGTCCCAGGTGAGCGACCCTTCCCTTTTTCTTCCCCTTCCTCGCTCCCTAGTTCGCCCACGTACCCTTTTCGTGGTTGTCCCGCTTTCGCTTGCTTCGTCGCCTACTTTGTCTCCCGCATACGGCCCAGTTCGCCTCCGCCTTTGACCGCCTTCGCCTCTCTCTCCGTGCCCACACGCCCTCTTGTTCTTACCTGGCAAGTCCTGCATAACAGCCAAGCCGCCTGGCTCACCTCTGAAATTCAACGGGTGACTTGGGCATGCGTCTGGCGGCGTTGCTGTTCGTGTTCTCGTCTGTCCCTTTTCGTTGCGTTTCTTTTTCTGGTCTTTCCATCTCGGCGCCAGATCGTTTTTGTGGCATCTACCAGCCATCCCGTGCTCTTTTTAGTTCTGCGCCTCCCCCCGTCCCCCTTCCCTCTTCCCCCAGACCGTTGCTGACCTGACCGTCCTACACACACCTCTGGATTCGTACTCTACGCTAACCTGGTGCTTGGAGATCGGAGTGAATGGTGAGAGGCCAGGGAAGGGAGGGAGGGATGGGGCGAGGTGCCTTGGGTCTGTCGTTGGCTGCGCCCAAAGTACACTGTACCTGGTGCCAAAGTCCCCGATACGCTCTGCTCTCCTCCTCCACTACGTAGCACTCGCTCGTTTTCCATGATACCCACCCACCGTCTCCTTCGCTGTTAACCTCCTTCTTCTTCCAAACACGTCACGAGGTCTGACATGTGGGACGGTCGGTCGGACAGCTGTTCGTCCTAGCAGAGGAGACGAGGACAATGAGGAGACGAGGAGAAGGAGGACGCATCTGAGAGACGAGATTGGCCAGGTGTTTGAGGGAGAGGAGGGGCGTGCGGGCGTTGCCAGGGCCGCCGCCGTTTGACGCTTCTGCGTAGCGCCGTACGAAAGGCGTGTCTACGGGTGGCCACTGAGTCTCGACCGGGCATCGCGCATTCTTCGCATCTTCCTTTTTAGCATTGCTATGTTCTTGATACTTACTGATACTTGACTGATACTAGACCGATCTTGACCTATCTTGACCTCGCACTTGCCCTCGGACGACGCCAAAAGGCAGCAAGGGTAGCATCGGCGGAAAACATCGAGACGTCCCTCAACGCATCCCTCTCGCTAGCTTCCCTAATTCGTCACTCGTCTTTTCCTATTCTGGAGGTCAAAGCTGTCTTTCCACATGCTTGTTCCAGAAAGCAAAGCGGACCAGCGAGGGCAGAAACCCAAAATGTAACCACCGGTGGCGTTTGGATGCCTTGCCGGTTTCTTTGTGCGCTCATCGGCAAAAACAAGCACAACGTTTGGTTGCAAAGCGGACTCTTTTCATGTAGCCACCCCCCTCCCATAGTTCTGAGAGGCGGCGGCAAATAGTGCAAACGAAGCAGAACACCTCTTGCGCAGACACTGACTGGTGAAACGTCTCCACACGATGTGGACAGTACCGCAACTCGCCGCAGGTCTCTTCCGTCCGTTTCTTTTGCTTGTCATGATAAACACGAGGTGCGGCCCACTTGATGATTTTTCATTTCGTTTTGTTTTTCGCTTGCCTTAAGCGTATTTTCTTCCTTTGATTTCTGAGCCTTGGACATCACATATGACCGAGCGTATCCAACGTAGCAAGACCAAGGACCCCTTTGGTGTCCCTATCCAAGGGCTCAAGGACCTCGCTTGCACGATCTCGTTTGCTTTCGTCTCCACCACGTCATCATCGTCCCGTTCATGGCTGGAAAAGGGGGGAAGCACGGAAGAAATGAACGAGAGCAGTGGACCGTGACGACGAGAGAGACAAGATAATCATCATCTTGATCGCCATGCATGTGTCCGGGGAAAGTAGGTGGCCTCTCCCTGCTTCCTGGGGCAAACATATAGCCTTGCTTTCATTTCCCGCTGATCCTCATCCTGCTTCTCTTGGTTCGTACGTACAATCCTCCCGCGCCTCCCTCTGATTTCCTTGACATGACCGGGCGTGCCTACCCGCTTTGGCGTGCGTTTTGTTACGAACCAGACCTGTGTGAGCCCTTCCTCCGTCGTTCACCTCCCAGGACAACACGTAATTTAGTTGTCTTCCTCCTGGATCCCGAGACATCCCCGACCACAGTTGGGACACACCAGGTCGAAGCCTCTTTCTTGCAGACTGTGGGCGAGGAGCGGAAGGCCTAGGGGACATAAAGATGGCTGCGGGAAATGACGATGGCGCTCACAAATTTGGTACGAAGCAACACTCTCCATATGATGCCAAGACGATATCCCGACGGACGGCCAACAAAGTCAGCAGACAAC